CTTGGGAAGGAGCGGTTATGATGTTCCACAGTTTCCTATTTACTGCACCTCAGACAATTGTGGGTCTCTGTGTGAATTGCCACCTACTGAAGAAATAAGCTTCTTTGATGGGAGTTGAGAGATGTACTAATCTATGAGTATAATAGTAAGTCATTAGAAGTTTGTAGTAGTAAATCCTCCCCTAAGGCCGTTCATCCAGCCACAGGTTGTGGCCCTGATAATGGTGCTTGGTATGGATTCCATATGGTAGAGCAGGCTTTAAAGTCAATCAGAAAATGGTTACGCCTATGATATTTTGTGCCACTATTGCACCAGTGGACATGTCTTGCTAGGCCAGTTGTTATTGTAGCATACAGGGTTCACAGCTGTGTAAGACTGATGATTACTTTTCTCCTCCTGCATCATTTGTAGCACCTTTTGGCACTATGAAAGCTGGCTAGTTAGGCATAAAGCTTCCAGGAGAGTACCTACTCGATTTCTACATATCCCAGGATTCAATTATGTGCTGTCTTCAGTATCAGTATCTTACCATCAGGCTATGGAGATTAACTCACAGCAATGGCAATGGCTGTAATGTTTGGGTGTCTATGGGACCTCACTGGCCTGGTTGTTTGTTTTTTGAGATGGAAAAATGCTTAACTCTTTGTGAAAGGGAAGGGATTGTGACATATAGAGTTCTTCCAAACTGCTGGTAATGTTTTACATATAGAGTGTGCATATAGAGTTCTTCCAAACTGCTGGTAATGTTTTACATATAGAGTGTACATATAGAGTTCTTCCAAACTGCTGGTAATGCTTTACATATAGAGTGTACATATAAGTTCTTCCAAACTGCTGGTAATGTTTTACTTCCCCTGCATTGTCAATAGTACATGAGTGCTTCTTATTATTCCTTAACATTTACATATTTTTCCCTTTTTTTTGGTTTTTAAGTGCACCTTAAAGTTAGCACAAAGAATAATGAGTTTCATTATAGCATTTTAATAGCTACATGTCATCACACTGTATTCTTATTCACCCCACTCCATACTTCTGTTCCCACCTGTCTCCTGCTTGCTTGTGCTTGTCCTTTACTGTTTATGTACTTTTCAGTTATGCTTTACATAAAAGGCTTCTTTAAATGAGGAAAAAGAAATCAATAATGTGTCAATGTGGCTCATGTACTAATAAAGGGAAAGGAATCATCTCAACACGAAAGGAGTAAAGTTCAATGTCTATTTGTAATATGCTCTTAAGAAACCAGGAATGACACTGATGTTTCTTAATTTGAGGAATGCTGTGTATAAAAACTGATGGGGGAAATACTTCTGTGTATGTTTATAAATAAAGTACTTGCTTGGCCAATGAGACAGCAGGTTAGGCTGGACTAGGAGTCAAAGAG